TTGGATGCTCAGAATGCAGGAAATGGCATTTCTGTGCTTCAAATTTCAAAAATTTTCAAAAGTGTATGCCTCCACACACGTGGCCTTCGGCCATTGCTATCCTCCTCCAATAATTATTGATAAATTACGGTTAATATATTTTACTTTTTGTGCGTTTTTTCCTTCTTTTATTTCAAATACAAATATGTGTAGCATAAATTTTGGAGCAAATTTGGATGCTCAGAATGCAGGAAATGGCATTTCTGTGCTTCAAATTTCAAAAATTTTCAAAAGTGTATGCCTCCACACACGTGGCCTTCGGCCATTGCTATCCTCCTCCAATAATTATTGATAAATTACGGTTAATATATTTTACTTTTTGTGCGTTTTTTCCTTCTTTTATTTCAAATACAAATATGTGTAGCATAAATTTTGGAGCAAATTTGGATGCTCAGAATGCAGGAAATGGCATTTCTGTGCTTCAAATTTCAAAAATTTTCAAAAGTGTATGCCTCCACACACGTGGCCTTCGGCCATTGCTATCCTCCTCCAATAATTATTGATAAATTACGGTTAATATATTTTACTTTTTGTGCGTTTTTTCCTTCTTTTATTTCAAATACAAATATGTGTAGCATAAATTTTGGAGCAAATTTGGATGCTCAGAATGCAGGAAATGGCATTTCTGTGCTTCAAATTTCAAAAATTTTCAAAAGTGTATGCCTCCACACACGTGGCCTTCGGCCATTGCTATCCTCCTCCAATAATTATTGATAAATTACGGTTAATATATTTTACTTTTTGTGCGTTTTTTCCTTCTTTTATTTCAAATACAAATATGTGTAGCATAAATTTTGGAGCAAATTTGGATGCTCAGAATGCAGAAAATGGCATTTCTGTGCCTCAAATTTCAAAAATTTTCGGGGGGAGTATGCCCTCAGACGCCCTTATTCATGCCTGGTATGTCGGTCACACACGTGGCCTTCAGCCACTGCTATCCCCCTCTAATATATTATCTCACAGAAAGGTCCCTTTTCAAAAAATGCCCCTCCCCTCACGGGAAAATCCTTAAAAAAGGCCCTGTTTTATACTAGGAATTTGTTGCAAAGTTACAAAGACTTTATATTTGAATATGCCGATCTAAAGAATTGTTTATATAGTATATTACAAATGAGGCTATTAAGAACTGTCCAACCTGATGTGTATGGGGTGAGCAACAACTCTCCATTCAGATGGATCATACCTGCATGTTTCATGTAATCATAAAAGTAAATATATTTACACGATATTAGTTAAAATCAACTAATGCGGCGCCTGTATTTTCTTCCGCTAGAGAAAAATGGGCGCCTTTGGCATGCCAATATCAGACCAAGTGGATGCCAGTGCCGAAGAATATCATAGCGTGTGGTTGAAATCAACGCAAAACAAAACTATTAAAACAAATGTTCGAAATGAATGTAGAGAGCATCTGAAAGAGGTGCGAAAGCGCTATGTGAAAGATCTTCTGAATCGGCAGAATGTCAACGCGGTTGATATTGGCTATAAGGAGATTAAAGGTGAAGAAATAGATAAGCTTTCTCTCAAGATCTGGGTGAGAGAAAAGAAACCTGAAAGTGAATTGCCGCCAAATGAAATCCTTCCCAAGAAAATTGAAGGTTGCGATGTAGATGTTATCGAAAATGAAGCCATTTTCCTAGATGAAAAGGCTGAGGAGGTTTGTATAGTTATATCATACTAGACCTTCAAAATACCAAATTAATTTCGTTTTTAATATATAACACTAAACGTGAAATGTTTCTGTGGTAATTCAAAAGAAGTGAACTTTTGCTCCAAAAGACGAGATTCTTGTTGTTATATGTGTAAAATTTTATTCTTTTTAACATGCTCCTGTAGTTATGCAGTTTTCCTAGTATAACCACTTGGAAATGTTGTGTTTACTCCAAATTGAATGAGAAATAAAAACACCACTGCAGTTTTATAACAATATGCATTTAAATGGCAGCAAACCAGTCACAAGATTACATATGGGCATTCGCAAACTAACCGGAACCAGTATACAAATAACAAATGTTTATTCGTGCAATGGTAAGAATATTTTCTTGAGGTGAAAGATGGAATGTTCCATTCAACGAGGCGACAGCCGAGTTGAATGGAACATTCCATCTCTCACCGAATGAAAATATTCTTACCATTGCACGAATAAACATTTATTATTATATGGCAAGCATTTGTTTTGATGAATCGCGCAATTTGATTGGCTGCTGACGAGGCAGGATTTTCCCGTATTGCCCACGGGCAATACGCAATTTTTTTGCCCTGCGACAAGAGCCGAGTTTCAAACGGCAAAAAGTGTCTAAAAGTCTTTCAAAACTATTCAAAACGAAGAAAAATAAACCTAAACTAAAGAAAAGGAGCACCTTCTTTGGTTAAAGAACTTTCTCAATATGTTTTTGTTAGCGAAAGTCGAAATTACTACAAGGTAAATTTTACAATGTTTATAACTATTAAAGAAGTCAGGAATAGCTGTGTTTTGACTTTGTGAAGAGCTGCAAATCTTATTTGCAGATAGCCGAGGAATTTGACACCATCCTAAATAAAAAATACAACTAAAGCAGCCACAGATTTATATTTTTCCCTGAAAATTTCTGGGTTTTTTCGATAAAAAGAGATCTATCTATGAGATGAAGCGAACTAAAAACGTACTTGTCCATA